GCAAACCCCCTAGTTTAGGGTTTAGGGTTTAGGGTTTAGGGTCTAGGGGTACCCGCAAGCCCTGAACCGTGCACCCCAAACGGTTTAGAGTTTAGGGTTTTGAACTAGCGGGGTTTAGGGTTTAAACCAACGACTGCCAGGACTCTGTGCTGAGCGTGGCGTTCAGGCAAGGACGGCTCCATATGTGGGAAGGATGGGTTACGGAGGGGCTTAGGGTTTAGGGTTTAGGGTTCGGGTTTAGGGTTTGGGGTTTAGGGTTTAGGGTTCGAGGGAATGGGGGGGGGGGGTGCAGACTTTCTCACAGCCGACTTACTGAGAGTCATGAATGGTAGCATGGCACCTAGTGTCCTACAGGCTCTAAGGGAGGTCTCCGGTTCGTAGGGTCGGCTTCCTCCTTCAAATTCTAAGGTTAGGGTTTAGGGTTTGGGGTTTAGGGTTTAGGGTTTAGGGTTTAGGATTTAGGGTTTAGGGTTCGGGGTTCGGGGTTCAGGGTTCAGGGCTTATCTAAGGGTAGTTCTATGGGCCCTTCATGTGGTCCCTTACCTTCTTTGAAGGGTTCGCATGGGCCCTTGGGTTTTATGGGTTATATAAGGGGTATATAAAGGGGTCTCCTTTTAAGGGCCCACATGGGCCCATACTAAGGGACTATGCAACTACCCTAAGACAAGCAGAGCCTCAAGGGGTTAAGACTCACACCCCTACGGTTGTACCCCTGAAGGTTCTCTTGAATATACTCTTAATCTGGCCCTTATATTCCCGCAAAGGATCTGTAGCAAGGGCCCTCAGACCCAAGGGGGGTCCAAGATAAAGTCCCTTGAGAAAAGAGCCACAACGAAGACACGACGGAGCGGCTTTGTTTGGGATCACGGGGTGGAGAGGAGGAGGCTTGGGGCCATTTCGGGTGCATAAGCAGTCTACCCTAAGCCCTAAGCCCTGAACCCTAAGCCCTAAACCCTAATCCCTAAACCCTAAACCCTTGCCCTGGCCAGGTCCGAAGGACCTGCGACCTCGACGAGCTGAGCGACATGGACGAGCTGAAGGCCCTGGGTCCGGGTTTAGGGTTTAGAGTTAGAGTTTAGGGCTTAGGGTTTAGAGATTACAGGGTTTAGGGTTCAGGGCCTGTAGGGTTCAGGATTTAAAGTTTAGGGATTATAGCGTGTAGGGACTATAGGATCTAGGGCCTTTAGGGTTTAGGGTTTAAGGGATTGTAGGGATTAGGGATTCCACGGTTTAGGGATTAGGGGCTTGAGGCTTAGGGATTGTAGGATTTAGTGTCTCCTGGAAACAGGCCCTTGTTTGGGCTCGTCATGGAGGTTAACTTTAGGGGCTTAGGGTGATTTTCTCGTAGGAAAGCCTCAATCGCAGAAACCACGGTGGTGCAGAGTCCCTAAACCTCTCAACCCCAAGACCCCAAGACCCCGAAGTCTCTTCACGAGGCAGCCGCCATGGGCGCTACCTGTGTGGTGCCTCTCGGACTCTTCGGAGGTGTCGGGTTTGGGGGTTTAGGGTTTAGGGTTTAGGGTTTAGGGTTTAGGGTTTAGGGTTTAGGGTTTAGGGTTTAGGGTTTAGGGTTAGGGTTGAGGAAGCTTAGGAGGTTTAGGGTTTAGGGTTCTAGGAGGCTAAGGGTTTCAGGGGAGTAGGGATTGAAGGTTTAGGGCACGACACCCTCCGAGGTTCAGGGGTTTCCCGAACTCACTATACCCTTAAACCCTAAACTCCTAAATCCTAAGCTCCCAAACCACACACCCTATGCACGACTGTGGTGTGCGTCTCTGTCAGCAGGCAAGCTCCCAACTAAGCCTCACATTCCAGACGTCAAAGCTTTGGTTTTGGGTTTTTTGGGTGGTTTCTATGGTTGGGCGTTTTTTCTCGAGTTTGCAGGGTTTCCAAGTTTTTTGTTTGGTGTTTTTGGTGTTCTGGGGGGTTTCTTTGCATGTTGAGGGTTTTTGGGATTTGGGTTTAGGCAATCGACCCCAGAACCCCATAGAAACCCCACCCTAAACCCTAAACCCTAAACCCTAAACCCTAAACCCTAAACCCTTGGAGCCGCAGAAGCTGAGCCTCCCAAGAAGTGGCCTCCTCCGCTTAGGATGTGCGCCACCTGCGGACACGGCGACTTCCCTCAGAACGCGGGACTGTTCTGGAGTGGCTTGCTGGCATTGAGGGTTTAGGGGCTTAGAGCGTTAGGGTTGGGATGTTCCCCCTTATACTAGCAGTCCTTAATGGGGATTATAATAGGGGGTACTATAAACCCTGAGCCCTAAACCCTTATTAAGGACTGTTAGTATAAGGGGGAACATCCTAAGTTTCGACCTGAACCCCAAACCCTAAACAACAAGCCCTGGGCCTGAGCCTACCCTACCCTCAGCCCTGGACCTCAACCTACCTGCACGTTTAGGGTTTAGGGTTTAGGGTGATAGGGTTTAGGGTTCAGGGTTCAGGGTTAAGACGGAAGTTGAAAGTTACACCAAGGAGCATGTTCGACTTGCAAGGGACTTCGGTCAAGCGTGGGAGGCTTTGTGATTATTCGCGAAGGGGGGGGGGGTGGGGTGCAGGGGTTTGGAGGGGAGGGGTTCGGAAGTTTAGGTTAGGGGCTTTAGGGGCTTGGGACGAGGGTGTGGAGGCTTGCGGGGTTAGGCATGGGAGGGTATTCTACTTTTGTTTATATACACAGTGAGAGAGAGAGAGAGAGAGAGAGAGAGAGTCGAGACGTTGTCATAGTGGGGTGGCATGTTGCACTGTTAAGGGTACTTAAACTCAACAAGGAACAGAAATTTCAATGCTCAATGCTCTCACAGGCATGAACTAGGAGTGGCAGTTAGGGTTTAGGGTTTAGGGTTTAGGGTTTAGGGTTTAGGGTTTAGGGTTTAGGGTTTAGGGTTTAGGGTTCCCCGAGGCAGCCTCTCTGCCACCACGCTGTCGCCAAAGGAGAGGGCTTGGCGCTCTGTCCCATCTACAACCCTTCACCCTACACCCCCAAATACCTGTTATTCAGCCTAAGCCCTAAACCCTTAACCCTTAACCCTGAACACTCTTAACCCTTAACCCTTAGCCCTAAACCCTAAACCCTAACCCTAAACCCTAAACCCTAAACCCTAAACCCTAAACCCTAAACCCTAACACCCCCAACAAATTGCTTGAGAAGCTGCCTCCCGAAACCCTTTTGACCCCTGAAGACATAGAGCGTGATGCTCCCATCACCCGAAGCCTCTCAACTCTCCCTAAGTCAACCAGACCCCGAACCAGACCCTATAAACCCTTATTTTTTAGGGTTTTGGGTTTTGGGGTTTAGGGTCTAAGCCCTAAACCCTAAGCCCCAAGACCTAAACCCTAAAACCATGTAGCCCTAGACCCAGTCTGAAAGACAAGTAGCTCCATCACACCCGGCACACAGGAGCTCGACGGCATTCGCTTCTGTGTCTTCGGCATGGGCGACCGCTCTTATGCCGACTCCTTCTGTGAGGCCAGAACTGCTGGCGTAACCCTCTGAAAGCCCCTGAGCCCCGAACCCGAAACACTCTTGGTCTTCTTGAAGCCAATACGCCCTTATAGAAGCCCTGGCAAAACCTTCAAGCCCAAAATGTCGATGTAGCTTGGGTCCAGGGCCTAGGGTTTGCGGTGTAGAGCTTGAGGTCATATACCTGGGACTCTCTTTACCAACAGTTTTACTGGTTGTACCTACTAATAAAGGGGTTGTTACTACCAGGTATGGTGCATTACAGTGGCCTATCAAAGCCCATAGATATCAAGGCATAAAACCATTAAGCCCGAATTCTTCAGCACGTCACGTGCTGTCAGAACCTCTAAGGGTATACCCCTTGTATACCTTGTTACAAAGTAAGGTCTCATACATCAGACCAGGGACGAATCCATGAAACTACCCTTAGAGACCCCGTCCCTAAACCCTGAACCCTGAACCCCGAACCCCGAACCCCGAACCCGAAACCCTAAACCCTAAACCCTAAAACTTAACCCTAAACCCTGAACCCTGAACCCTGAACCCTAAACCCTGAACCCTGAACCCTGAACCCCGAACCCGAAACCCTAAACCCTGAACCCTAAAACTTAACCCTAAACCCTGAACCCTGAACCCTGAACCCTGAACCCTGAACCCTGAACCCTGAACCCTAACTTAAACGAGAAGAAGCTGCCAAGAGAAAGCCCAAACTTTCATGGTGCGGGCTTTCTACACCCTGCAAGCAATCCTCAAGTGGTGCCATTCAAGCTCTCCCGACCTCAAAACAAAACTGCCCCTGCATTTCACACAAAGTGCAGCCTAAACCCTAAACCCTAAACCCTAAACCCTAAACCCTAAACCCTAAACCCTAAACAGCCTAAACCCTAAATCGTAAACCCACATAAATTGTAGCACCTTGCAGAGCAACTCAGGGGATCGGGGGGACGAAGCACTCGGGAGTCCAAAAGGTCAGCACAGCCTCGTACAGCCTCTGCAGCTCAACGCATTGGTTCGGCAAGGGGCCCCCCCCTCCACCCTGAACCCTAATACGAAAGTTAGATCTGAACCGAAACCCTAGAGCCAAAACCCCTTGAGAGTCCGGAGGCTTCGCTGGTTTTAGGGCCGTGGGGCTTGAGGGTTTTGGGTTAAGGGTTTAGGGTTTACGGGCAACCAGGGTTTTGGGGCAACTAGGGGTTAGGGGCAACTACTACAACAAGACCGTCCCTACAAGAAGCATGCGAATGCGCGCCTGCAGGCAGCGAAGAAGATCGAAGAGCGCATGCAGAAGCTGGGCGCCTCGCCGTCCAGTGGCCTTGGAGCCCATAAACCCTAGACCCCATATAACCCTAGACCCGAAACCCTAAACCCCATATAAACCCTAGACCCTAAACTCTAAGCCCTAAACCCTAAACCCTAAACCCTAATCCCTAAACCCTAAACCCTAAACCTGAACCCCGAAACCCGAAACCCTTGGGGGTACCCCAAAAGCCACGCAATTTCGGGACTCTCTTGAAAGAAGCATAGACTCCATGTCAATGCAACCATGGCAGCTGCTGCAAAGAAGAAGGCAGCAACCAAAGGGAAAGCCAAGAGCCGTGCAAAAGGAAAGGCCACGGGCAGGAAGTCGCTGACGTCCTTCAGTGCCCTGAAAGTCACAGTTTTCCTCAGAGGCGAAGGTCAAGGACAAGCGCTGACAGGTGTGGGAATTGCTGCCGATCCCGCGGAGACAGTCAGTATGAGGGAGAAAGAGAAGGGCAGATGTAGATATAGAGTCTGCAGTCTAGAGGGAGAGAGAGAGAGGGGCAGGGCCAGCAGAATACCACAGCCAGAGCTGTTCTGCAAGCAGCAACAGAAACAGCAACAGCAACAGCAACAGTGGCAGTAACAGTAGCAGCAACCGTAGCAGTGACAGTAACGCGTTTGTTTGCGCCCGCCAACGCGCTGCTCAAAGTCTCTTTGCGGGACCCACGCTGCCTGTGCATGTACCCCCGAAACAACCCATTAGTTTCTTGAGTGTGGGTTTGGGGTGTAGGGTTTAGGGTTTAGGGTATATGGTGTAGGGTTCACGGTTTACGGTTTACGGTCCAGGGTTTGGGGGGCTGGGGGGTGGGTAGTTCTTTGAACTATGGTTCTTCATGTCAAAGTGCCATACTATATACAGGACCCAAAATGGGACCCGCATTTTGGAAAGCTGCTCTTATGCCCTGATATATACATTGTAGTCCCAAAGCATCCATATGTTTTAACATAGCTTCTGGGTTTAGGATTTAGGGTTCAGGCAGGGTTTAGGGTTTAGGGATTTTGAGGTTAAAACTGCCAGCGCCTAGTCTCATAAGAGTCTCTCCGCTCATGGAAAGCAGACCGACTGTGGTTTGGGGGTCCGGGGAAGTCTCAGACAGCAAAACCTAAGGGAGCTCATGCACAATCATAGAACCACAAACCCTAAACCACAAAGCCACAAAACCCGAAACCCCAAATCCTAAACCCCCAAACCCTTAACCGCCAAACCCCAAACCCTGAAAAGCCCCAAATCCTTAAAAGCCAAACCTCAAAAGCCTAAACCCCTCAAGCCCCTCTGCAGCCTGCTTTAGGCGCCACACGCATCCTGAACATGGGCATCGGAGATGACAGGGACGAGGTGCCACCGGAAACCCTACTCAGGGTTTAGGGTTTAGGGTTTAGGGTACCCAAATCCCTGACCCTTATCCCTCAACCCCCCCCGAACCCTCCAACCCTCGAGCCCTTAAACCCTGAACCCTCAAACCTTCTAGGCCCTTATAATCGGAGCCCTAGCCCCCAACCCTTGCACCCCTGCAGCCTGAAACCCTTTACCCTGAAACCCTAAACCCCCCGCCCCCCCCCCCCCCCCCCCCCCCCCCCCAAAGCCCTAACCCCTAAACCCTAAACCCTAAACCCAAACCCCCTAAACCACAGAACCTTTGCGGCTCAGGACAAGTGGGAGACCGGCTTCACAGCCTGGTTGCCACAGCTGCTTGGGCATTTGGGTTTAGGGTTGGGTTTAGGGTTTAGGGTTTAGGGTTTAGGTTTAGGGTTTAGGGTTTAGGGTTTAGGGTTTAAGGTTTAGGGTTTAGGGTTTAGGGTTTGGGGTTTGGGGTTTGGGGTTCAGGGTTTAGGGTTTAGGGTTTAGGGTTCAGGTTTAGGTTTGTTTGGGGTTTAGGGTTTGGGGTTTAGGCTTAGGGCTTCTAAGGATCAAGAGCTTTAGGGTTACAAGGGTTGAGGGCTCTAGGATGTAAGAGCCCACATGGGACTCTATTTACCTACAGGTTCGTGGTAACGACCCCTTAATTAGTAGGTGTAGCCCATGAAACTGTACCCAGGTAGGGCTGCCACAGGATCTGGGGTCCTCGCATAGATTGCCAGCCGCTGCACGACAACTAAACCTAAGCCCTGAACCCCAAACCCTAAACCCCCAAACCCCCAAACCCTAAACCCTAAACCCTAAACCCTAAACCCTAAACCCTAAACCCTAAACCCTAAACCCTAAACCCTAAACCCTAAACCCTGAGCCGCTTTGGTTTTAAACCTAAACGTCCCTGCACGAGGTTCTGGTCTGCCATCAAGGCCCCTGAGCCGGTCGACGACGGCAGGCACAGCTCTTGAGGGCTTTTTGCTGTGTTTAGGGCTTAGGGATTCTAGGCTTTAGGGTTTAGGGTTTAGGGTTTAGGGTTTCGGGTTTAGGGTTTAGGGTTTAGGGTTTTGACTTAGTTACAGGGGTTTGTGGGGTTTATAGGGGCTTCTGGGTTTTTTCTTGGGGTTTGTTTCGGTTTATTTGGGGCTAAGTTTAGGCTTTTTGGGCTTCTGAAGGCCGCTGGCCTTGTTTGAAGGCCTCTTGGGGGGCTTTTTGTGCACTCCACGCGACCGCCCAGCGGGCGCATGTTGAAACTGAATCCCTAAACCCTAAACCCTAAACCCTAAACCCTAAACCCTAAACCCCTTGACCCTAAGCCCCTTGACCCTGAACCCTCATAAGCCCACAGGGCCCTCGCCAGGCCAAAAGCTCCCCTCTTCGAGGTGAAGTACCACGAGAACGCAGCCTGGTAGGGTTTAGGGTTTAGGGTTTAGGGTTTAGGGTTTAGGTTTTAGGTTATGGGCCACACCTCCGAGCTCTCAAACAAAGCGTCAACCTGGGAAGAGCCTGTACTTACTGGGTTCTTGGTAGGGAAGGAGGGAAGTATATAAGTGCCCTATATCCCCCTCAGCAACCTGCTCAGGAGTCTGGTAGTCCCTTAAGGTGGAGAATAAGTAGACATCTAGATCATAGGGAGGGGGGGGAGGGGGACGGGAGGTGCCCAGCCCTAAACCCTACTAAGAACTGGTAAGCCCAAGAATCTCAAGCCCCGCCTTCTCCTTACCTTGTGGGTTTAGGGTTTAAGTTTAGGGTTCAGGATTTAGGTGGGTTTGTGTTGAGGGTCTCAGGCTTATACATGCATATGTATATATATATATATATGTATATATCTAAGGCTTCGATAGTAAAATCCCTAAGCACCTATTTCACCCTCAAGCATGGAACCTTCATGCGTGCATACATCCCGCCCCAAGGGCCCCAAACCCTACCGAGCCTGATTTGATCCTTGGGCCCGACTACACACCCTGAGCCCACATAAGGCCCAGCGGTTTGGGGTTTAGTGGGTTTAGGTAGGGTTTAGGGTACGCCCTTAAGCTGCTTAGAAGGGAAACTGAAGAGGAGGAGGGTAGAGGGGTGGCAAGTGGTTTCGAGTTTCGGTTGAAGGCTGCACCTTCACAAAAGTGGTCAGCAGCACATTTGGGCCCTTCGCGAAGAAGACGGTGCGGCCGAATGGGTTGATGCCAGGAGTCTCCCAGATCCTTGGGCACACGGCACTGACCCGAAGTCCGTGCGGCCGAAGCAACGAGAGCTGCCAGAGGCGCATACCATGATGCAACGGCGCGGTAAATGAACCTGATATCTCGAGTGCAATTTCTTGCCGGGAATTCTAGAGTTAAACTTAATTGGGGTTTAGCTACACGGTTTAGGGCTTAGGGCTAGGGTTTATAGGGTTTACAGGGTTCAGGGCTTGTAGGTGTTGAGGCTTGAAGGTTTAGGGCGTAGGGTTTTGGGTTTGGGGTTTATGGCCTATGTAGGGTTTAGGGTTTAGGGTCTGAGGCTCAGGGTTTAGGGTTTAAGGGCTTATAAATGGGTCTAGGGCTTGTGGGGTTTAGTGTTTTGGGGCTTAGAGCTTGGGGTTTGGGGTTTCGGGCTTTTGTAGGGTTTAGGGTCTAAGGGGGGTTTAGGGTTTAAGGCTTAGGTTTAGGCTTGAAGCCCTGCACAAGAAGCCCTTGTAGACACGAAACTGCCAACAAGCTTCAACCACAAGCATCATTCTGTTATTTTCACAAGGAACTACTCAAAAAGTCCTAAATTCTACTCCCTATAAGCCCCCACATGTCTTCATAGACTTTTGAAAATGTCCACTCCGATTAAATGCCCTAAACCACCAATTTCTAGAACCTCTCAATCCCAATTTTATGGGCCAACATAGGATCTCTCTCCCTCTGCTAGCTTCGTGAGTCTTGGCGGGAAGGAGGGTTTAGGGTTTAGGGTTTAGGGTTTAGGGTTTAGGGCTTAGGGTCCCTGACATCATCGCCTTCGACTGGTACAAAAGAGGGCGATAGAAGGTGGCTAATTCCGTCATTCCCTACCTAACCCTAAACCCTAAACCTTAAGCACTAAACCCCAAACCCGAAACCCTGAGAACCAGTAGGTTGGGCGAAGAACCAGTAGGTAACCCCTAAACCCGAAACCCGAAACCCTCTAAACCCATAAACCCCAAACCCTAAACCCTAAACCCAAAACCCTAAACCCTAAACGCTAAACCCTAAACCCTAAACCCTAAACCATAGCCCAGGCCGCCGCAGTCACCGCCCCGATGGTCCCCCCGGGTGCACAGCTCCTGACGGCTCTTTGACCTGGCTTTGTAGGGTTTGGGGTTTAGGGTTTAGGGTTTAAGGCTTAGGGTCTTGAGACGTAGGTTAATCAGGGTCACATGGAGGTCGTAGGTCCCGTCAGATACGGATTGGGGGGGTTGAGAGCTGAGGACTTGGGGCTTAGGGCTTAGTGCCTAGGGGTCATGGGCTTAGGATGAACCCACAAAAACAGCTGCTCAAAAGCCCTCGTCTAACGATTCAGGTTCCTGTGCTGGCGTAGGGGTTTGGGGGTTTTTTGGGTTTAGGGTTTATAGGGTTTAGGGTTTAGGGCTACAGACGTTCAAAACAGGCTTACTGGCAGTTTGCGCCGACGCGCTCGTCTTGGGGGCTGGAGGACGTCGTGTGGAGTGTTAGGCCCCAGACCCTGAAAGCCCTTAGCTAGGTACCATTTTTTCGCACCTATCCCCAATGTCCTCCAGTGGCTAGTTGCTGAACCCTGTCCATACAAACCCTAATCCCTATACTTACTTGAACCACAAGGGTTTAGGGTTTAGGGTTTAAGGTTTTTGGTTTAGGGAAGCCCCTGTCCAAAGCAACAGCTCTGTCGGCTCTGGTGCGGCCAAGGTGACAGAAAACCGCCGCATCTTGGCGGCAGCAGGTCTCACAATGTAGGTTGGCCTTCCAATCGCGAGTATGTGGGGGCTGATCTGAGTGAGTTCTCGCCGTGAAAGTAGCATGGGTTTGGAAAAAGGCAAGGGACCACAAGTTCCCCTTCCTCCCCCCCCTGTGTTGCATTTTGTATTTTCCATCCCTAAACCCTAAACCCTAAACCCTAAACCCTAAACCCTAAACCCCTAGACCCTAAACCCTAAACTGTTCAGATAGCGTTTGCCGAGTGTGCAACAAGCGCTGCGCCGCCCGTCCCCAGCGAGACTTGCGATCTTCTGGTGGCTGGGTACCCATGCAATTCCTCTAGCT